GGTCTTTGACACAGACTTCTTTTCCCTATCGGTGCTTACCCGGTCAGTATATGATGATATTTTTCGGAGGGGCATCTCAGCCATACTAGCCCTGTCTCATACCTAGTGTACCCGAGGTTGGTCCGGATGTTCTTCCAGAACCTCCGGCCTACCCCAAGTAACCTGGCGGAGCTGCGGACCACCATTGATGGCTACCCGATCTGCATCACTGTGGACACATTGTCCAGATCTTACCAGTGTCCATACGTCTGCCCTCTAGAGCTACATGACACTTATCCCACTCTCTACAGGCCATCATATGCAGACATGGCCGTTTTACTCACAGGTCACAATGCCGGTGGTGAGACCTTTGCCACCCGGACCTATCTTCCAAATGACCTGTGGTTTTTCGACTCTGTCTTGTTCCGTAACATTTTCATAGCCGGCCATAAGACACAAAGGCACGGCGACTACCTGACAGCTCTATATACATTCTATACAGGGTGTTGGCTGTCCATTCTTGCACTCATCTGGAGCGTCATGATGAAGCTGTATGTCGACCACATCAACAAAGCCAAGCCCAAAAGGGCTAAGTATCTCCCATTCGGCCACCTCATCACCTAGTTTCTATGAGACTAGCGCTATCCTTTCCAGCCACGAGAGCAGACTAAGTCTAGGGCCTGCTCTTTCAAGAAGAAGGATTGGGATAAGAGCTATAATGCTCTTATCAAGAGTTTGCAGGATGATGCTGTAGAGGCAGCTGAGGATCTAGAGGCAGAGGAGCAGGCGACAGTAGCAGCAGCAGGCTCGGCAGCGAATGATATACCAGTCGATCCGGCTGCCGTACACATGGATATTGATTTGGAGCAGCCTGCAAAGGGCCCAGAGCAGCACTCTCCAGTCGGGTCACCCGTTCACGATGAGGAGCAGGCTTAGGATCATCATTCTCCCGATCCAGGCACACCTGAGGCTCCTGCTCACATACCCGACTTTGGAGAGTGACTTCAGACTCTGGAGGATGCCGTGGTATCTATCCGCACAAGGAATGTCTCCATTAGAGCTGACATTGCTTCCCTCCGCATGGATGTCATGACCGCATTTAAAGATCTATCCACAGACATCCGCGAAGCGCAACCTGCCCGTCCTACCTCCTCCACTCGATATTTCTATTCTTCTTATTCCTTTTATATATCTGTGATAGTTGCATATTTTTTATACTGTTATATTATTTTTGCAGCCGTGTCTGCTGGCTTTGATATTGGATGTACTGTACTTTATATTTGGTTTATATATGTTTTCTTTATGGATGTCCTATTTTCATATTCTTATATCTATCTGTTTGACTCCATCAGGTGCATCCCGGTGACTTCAGTGAGAGAGAGTACTGCCCAAAATTTTCAGGACCACACTTATACCTCTCTCTATTTTCAGTTGCTATCCCATTTACACATGCATGTCCACTATGCACTGTTATTATCCCTTTTATTATCTGATGAGTTTTATCGAAGTGCCAAAATTTCAGGACCACAGTTAATCCCAAGTTTATGGGGGCTATGCCACCCACTTTGGATACTTCTATCCCAGTCTCTCTTTGCCTCAGTTGTACTGGTATACTCTTTCCCTTTTGTTCTCTTTGCACATTGAGGACATTGTGCCATTTAATTTTGGGGGTAATAGTGCTTTGCAGTGTTTATTTTTAAGTTCAAAAGTTTGAGCATGACTTGTGTATTTGAGTGATTTTCTATGATTGGTCCATAATTAGCTATGATTTTGATCTTTTGAGGACTATATTGCTTAAAATTTAAAAAATTGCTTGACTTGAGAGTCCAATACTCCTTGTATGCCTTGTGGATGCCATTTAGGAGTAAATTTTTTGAAAGATTGATATCATGCTTGCACTTGTGGACTATATCATTCTGATTTTGCGATTGTTTTAAGATTCACTCTAGTATTCTACACTAAAATAGGCGCACACTAACATTCATTTATGGGGTACATGCTTTGTTGATTATTGAATTGGTTATATCTCAATTGAGCTAGTAGTGCATTGAAAGCTTTCATTCTTAATAAAGGTGGATAACAACCCCTTTTCACTAAGTAGCCAGGATTCTAGCCTCATTAAGCACTGAACTTCTCGCGCCGAAAGGTGGAGGGCCCAAACTCTAGGTTAATAATTGAACTTGCTTAAAAAATAAAAATAAATAAAATAAATAAATAAATAAATAAAAGGTAGAAGAAGTTGCAAAAGCAATAAAAAAGTGAGAACTTCTCCCAAAAGGTGAGAAGTGGGAAATGATTAGATGAAGGTTGTTCTGATTTGTAACCTAATTGATTTGAGCTTGTAAGTCCTTAGGGGTGTTTGAACACCTAGTGCCCTAAAGCCGTCTAGTTTGGGATTCATTGACCTAACGTTCGAACTCATGGATTGCTAGAAAGCTTAATAGATCACTACATTGCACCATGCTTCCATCTTTAATCCTAAAAAAAAAAAAAAAAAAAAAAAAAAAAAAAAAAAAAAAAAAAAAATCGAGTGAAAAGAATAAGCGCACTTAGAACAATAAAGTTTTAATAAAAGGTCCACTTTTTTTGTCTTGATGATCGGCCTTAGATTTGTGTGCTAGTTTGAGGGTAAGGATGTGATCATTTCTTTAGTTGGCTAAGATAACAACATACTTGATGCCGGTCCACTCAAAAAGGATTCTAGAGTTGTTTTAATTTTCATGATCAATTTCTTGATGTGTGGAGAACCATGCTTACTTTCTTGATGTTGAAATTTTGGGAGATTGCTTGGAAATGGTTGAAAAATTGCATACTTGAGGTAGTTTTCTCCCAATGCTTGTTTGCAATATTGATGCCTCTTTTGAAAGAATGAGCTTAATGTTTGTGGGTATCATTTCTGGAAACCCTCATAAGACTTCACTCGTCCACTAGGGGTAACCTAGGGGTTTAAAAGGCTTGTTGCATATGCTAAATGTAATCGTGTTCCCTACGAAAGTGACGTTATCCATTTATTGCTTTCTAGTTCATAATTATATAGTTGTTCATTTCATTCATTTACTTTCTAGTTCATTGTTATGGACTAGCAATATTTAAGTTTGGGGGTATGATGAGCACTGAAAAGTACGTATTTAAACCCCTTAAGCTTAGGTATTCTAGAACCTTTATTTATCTTATTTTTCCTTTTTGTATTGATTTCGTATTATTTTCATTTTCAGGTACTTATCCCCAAAATAAGCTAACTCAGCCAAATAAGAGCACAATTGAAGTAATTCAGGGATGAATCAAAGAAATGAGCAAAGTAAAGCAAAATGAAGCAAAAGGTGGAATTTCAGCAACTTCAATCGATCTAAAGAAAAGTTTGATCAATCCAACTTTCATCGATTTCAGCACTTCAAGATAGATCCAGTCCATAATGTCATTTTCAAAAATCCCAAAAGTTCGATCGATCCAACATTATTCTTTGATCGATCGAACTTTCTTATCCTTATCCACATGCCAGATCTTATCCAACTATACCACCCTACCAACCACTTTTGTCCTTTTCCCAAAAAAATCTTTAAAATATCTCAGATTTGTTATTATCCAAAGAGGCGCCGCCATTGAGAATCGATCCAGCTTCAATTCGATAGATCTCAACCATGTACGATCGATCTCACCATAAGTTCGATCGATCGAACTTCCCAAATCTCAAGAAAATTCTAAATTCCAGCTCATTAAAGGTTGTCTCATATCCAATCATTAAAGGATTATTGGTGTACGAGCCCAGCTCATTTGAGGTGATTTTTGACCTACCTATATAAGGAATATGAACCACTTTTTAAGAGAAACTTGGAGACTTGATACTTTTATACCTAGTGAAGAAGCAAAGGAGAGGATGAGGCTAGAGACACCATTGGAGGTTCTTTATCAAACAAGGAGCAGATTTCTTCTATGGAGCTTGCCCTTGAGGGTTGGACGACATCATCCATGAGTGGCTAGACATCCTCTTTGGGCTAGATTTAGCCCTAAGCATGCTTTCTACATCTTGATTTATGTATTTTTGAGGGGATTTGTATTGTAATACATGTTTTGACACTTTTGTATATATAGATCTTGTTTATTCAATGATTTATATGGTTTAATGCTTTCAATTGATTATTTTATTCTATCCATATATCTATGTATGCTAGAATAGATGTTCATGTGTTTGTCTCTATTTCTTGTGTTGTTGATGCATGTCTATGTGTATTAATGCTATAGATCTAGAGATTGTCAAGACATAGTGCTTAACAGAATGTTCTTGTGGTTTATTTGAGAGTTCATACTCATTTCTTGATGGATTGTACCTCTCCCTTAAATTAATTAGTTTAATTTCATATCATTAGCTTAATTGTAGTGTACTTGTTAAATGGGAGAACAATCCATGCTTGTTGTTTGATATTCTATGCTTTTGAATGGAAATAGCATATTTTTCTAACCTTGTGATGTGTTTGGTTGTGACCTTAAAGAAGGGATTAATGGCTTAATTTGATATGTTGTGCTCTCCACCATGTTGTTTAGACAATATATACTTAATTTGCCATCTATGCTTGTTGGAACAACCACACACACACACTTTGTTGCAATACATGTTTTTCCCTCATTAATCATTCATTAAGGGTGTAGAAAAGTATGCTTACTGGTGATCTCTAAACCCCAAGATCTCTCCCTCTCTCTCTTATTCTCTTTATTGCATTATTGTTTACTTTAGTTTAAATTGCATCTTAGTGTAATTCAACCACCAACCACTATTTTGATCACTCGACCTACTAACCCTAATCTTGATTCCTCAACCTAGTACGACCCACCAATCCCTTGGGACGATCCCTACTTGTCCTAGCTATATTTTTAATAAAAAGTAGTAGTGGCAATTCTAAATGTAAAACTTGGCCACATTCATCATAGCCCTACACCGCTATATCTTTTGGCGGTGTGCACAAACCGTGTGGGTTCCGGAAGTGGCGACCCGGAACTTTCCACCAACATCAAAATAAAGACATATAAAGTATAAAAATAAACTTTAAACCTCTTCCAATATGTTCAAAAATCAAAGCATCATTTTAAACTAAATGCAAAAAGCCCAACAGAATCTCTAGTTCAATGACAAAAAAGAGCTAGATATAAGCTAGTCATGATATAGCTTCAGAATCTTCTGCTGCTGCTGAAGCATCTTCTCAATTCTTTCCATATATTTTCGCAAACTTTTTACTTCCTCCTTCAGTTGTGCATTATTTTCCTCAGTAATTTCTGCTCTTTTACAATGAGGATGCATGTTGACGGCTTGGAATCATGAAACCATGTTTGACCCATGCATCATTTCATCCTGCAATTGACATATAAGTCTTATAATTGAGAAATGCGATACAAATTAAGGAGAAAAAGACTTGTACCAGAAAATAGTAAAGGCTAAACTGATCACATTAAGAAAAAGATATTTTAATGAGTTTGAGGGGAAATATCTTAATAAAACAATGCTCAAACTTAGTTTTTTTATTGAATTTTTATCGCGATTTTGCAAATTTTCTCTATATCTCTTTCTCCCTCTTTGTTGCTGTTATTCTCAATCTCTCAGTCTCTTTAGCCTATCTTTTTCAATCTTACTTTTCACTCCCCTCATATGTCATATGACCTTCTAGCCTGACCTCATTTTCTCATTCTCATCCCCTTTTTCATTCTAGTTCTATATCAGTTTGGTATGACAACACTTTTTGTCCTACATCACAAACCCATTAGCATTTGTTTACCGCAATTTTTATTTCAAACAGTATATATGTTATTCCTATCACTATTTATTCTTTCAATTAATTTAAATCTTGTTTCTTGTTTAGAACTAGTTTTATGATAAAATTACAAGTTACTACAAGAGACTTATTTGAGACAAGTTAATCCCAGATGCGACGCAACTGCGTGCAATTCAAAAACAACATAATAAATAAAGGCCCACTAGAATAACAAGGCTATGAACATAGGTATCAAATTATACCATCTCTTGGAATAATTTTTTTGAAAATAAAGCCCAACTAAAATTGGGTAAAACTTCAGTTGAACCTGGTCCTGCTACATTTTGGTCCGGGAAAGTATCCATTAAATATATTTTTTATTTTTTATCCAGCTTTTCTTCCTCAGATAGGGGGAGAAAGAGGAAGAAACTCAAGAATATAAAGGAAGAATTATCAATTATCTAATCTTGATATTCAGTGGCTGTTTATGCTTCTAGATTATGGGTATAACTGAAAGTTAATTTGAGATTCTCATTGGGAAGTCCACACCTCCATTGATTATGTGGAGTAATGGATATTATGGATAAACATTAAACATGAAACTTGCACTATGTTGGCGTGCCTTCTTAATAAAATGAATTTGAAGGAATTATATATAGAAAAATGTTATTCTCAAGAGTTTTTCTAATCCATGTCCATATTCCTCCCACCACTTGTATAATAGTGACGAAACATAAATACAACATTTTAAACTATGGAAATAATGCCTATTTTGTGTACATTATCCAATTATTCATTTCTTGGATTTTCCCTTTTTTATTTACTATTTCTGGTTGATTGAAGATTTGGTAACCAATTATCTCTATAGTTAATACAATGTGCAAATATCTAAATGGAAAGAGTAGGGTTAAAGAATTCAATAATTACTGGTTTTCTAATAAAAAATATCTCTCGTATTACAAAGAATTAGGTCAACCATTACAGTTGATATTATTACTGCTACTAGTGTACGAATATTATGTACATTACACTGATTAATGTTTATTTCAGGGTATCAGTCATATATCACCTGACAATGAACTCCAAAATTTTTGCCGTACAAAAGGGTGAAAAAATATATATATATATATATATATGGAAAGTAAAAAACATGAAACATTATTCCTAAATGGTCCATTGATGCAAGTTTTGTCTAAAAAGGTAAAGCAAATCAATACTTTTAAAATAAAAAAACATAAAAAAAAATATCTCATATAGCACAACAATAAAAAAAATATAACAAGTTGGAGCAAAAAAAAAAAAAAAAAAAACCAGCACCACCCTACATCTGGAAGACAAGCAGCAGAAGATAGGGCGGATCAAAGAACCATGGCACATACCAAGAACAGATGCCGGTAGAAGCAAAACAACAGAACCAATCAGATACGAAGACACCCATTCCACATGAACCAAAATAATGACCCTGCAAGTGGAAAGAGCCAAATCCCTTGTTTCATCAGGAAAAAAATTAAATTAAACAAAATAAGGATGAAACCTGTAATTATATCACAAAAATACATAATGAGACTGAAGTGGTTAAGTATCATAATCTTTTAAATCCTTCTAACCATTAATTTCAGTAACAAAACATATAAGGATCTTTCAATCGTAAACTAGTTTTGTTATAAGATCCATAACTATTAACTAAAAATCAGTCTAGCTTCTTGGATTCTTGCCTTAAAACAGTATATTAGGCTTACTTTTGTAAAATTTAAGGGTTTTTTTTTTTTTTTTTTTTTTTCATATAATGTTACCAAGATGCAAGTACAACAGGCAATCTTTGTCTACATTCCCATATACAATATTAGACTCATATTTCTGGTACAAGAGGTGGACCATAATGAGAAGAAACGTTCCCTAAGACATGAGAAAAAATGAATGAAGAACAAAAGGGTAATGCTTTTAATCTTTCATTTGTAGGGGCAACATATACTTACTGGGGACCAAACAGAAGAAGGCCTCTTCCTGAAGAATGGCAACCTTTAAAAATGTCAGGACGTAATAAAGGCCATATAACCATCTCAGTCACACTTTTTTTAGCATGCTCCAAACCAGCTAGAGAATGGACAGGCAAAAAAATATGATTAAAACAAAATGTCCAAATACATAAACTTCCTACAAAGGAGGGGGACTTTGTAATCCTTTTATTTTTTATTTATTTAATTTTTTTTTTTTTTTTGTGTTGTTAAATACTCAAAGCCATCTTCCAGAAACATTAAACATAAAAATAAAAAATCACCTGTAATTGTCTAATTTGACTATTCTTGATTTGAGGTGAGGGAAAACATGTTTACAAAACTTTACAAACTTATTTCAAATCCAAATTATAAAACAAATCTAGTGAAGGTTCATGACAGCATTCTTTTGTAATATCAAGTTAAAAAACTAAAGATTATTTAGGCATCTAACTATTCCTGCAAGCAAAATACTTTTTCCAAAAAAAAAAAAAGAACAAAAAAAAAAGAGAGAGATATTTCATTCATCTCATTTTTTTTATTAGTCATGATAATTAGATCATACTGGAAATTTTATTAATGGTAATCAATCTCCACACAACACAATCCAATAACAGTGGAAGATTAGTATCCCTTGGGCATATTTCTGTGTTTGATGGTTATAGCGTAATGAAAAAAAAGGGGGGGGGGGGGGGGGGGGGGTTGGGGGGGTGTGTTTTGAGAAGTAGATAATATACCAATTTTGCTCGGGCAGTTTGTAATATGGTTTATACTTGCACATAATTGAGAGAATTCATGCCAGTAAGATTGCGAATAGGACCAGTCAGTTTATTATTGGACAAGTACCTGAAAGTGGATAATTAAAAGCCTCATTGGTAAACAAAAAAAGAAAATGCAGGATAATGAGGAATTCCTAAAAAACAAGTATAGAGGCTTAAGTTGATGAGTTTTTTCTTGTCTACAGCTCACTGAAATGCGAGAGGTTGTTAAAGACTCAAGTATGCAAAAATGTAGGTGCAGCAGCATCTTAAAGACTCAAATGTATAAGTCTTGTAACTAGACAATTCAATGAAACTTATAAATGCATTAGCTCCATGTTTGAGCTAAAAAGCTGGGATGGGATTTTACCAGAAAGCTGATTTATTCCAAAATGATTGTAAATAATAGATGGAAGCTTAAGTAAGCAAAACAAATTAAAGTAAGAGAAGAACTAATTTAGATAAGTTTCCTGTAAGCTTATTATTAACTAGATCCAACCAATAAAGTTTTGATAAGTTTCCAATGGAAGGTGGTATTGATCTGGTGAAGCTATTGGAATTTAGATACCTGCAGAATACAGAAGGACGATTAATTGGAATATAGAAAAGGGACTGCACTGGAAAAAGTTAATCAAAATCTTGTGTACTAGCATATTTCAACTGCAAAATGTGGAGCGTTCACATGTAAAAGCATATAAATCATATCAACCAAGATAATGAATATTTTGATGCAAGATTAATTACTGAATAGATCCTTCAATCAATTCTGACAATCTCTTGAATGACTACAGCTTTTGTTAATGGAGAAGCAATTGAATGAGGTCATATAGAAAAGATATTGCAGGAGCTAAATAATGCAAAGGAAACGAGTAGTATGCTGTGCTAGCTTCAATTGCTTCAAGCTCATTTTTTGTGGGAAATGGGTAGATGGGTGTGCAATCAGGTCGCAGTCTTATGTTAACAATTTCTTTTGAAGACATCCAAACTAGTAACCCATGAGATAACAAGATATATCTTCAAATCCATGCATAAAACTAACAGTAAATTCAAGATGCATCAATATATTAAACGACAAATAGATTTCAAAGGTTATTACATAATCCCTAGTCTCCTAGATATGTAATAACCTTTCCAAATCTTCAATTTCACTTGCAATTTTGAAAACCTAGAATATGTATTTGCATAAAAAAAAAAAAAAAAAAACTACAGAAAGACCCAAAAAAAAATTAAATAGAACTACTCTTAATAAAAAAATCAAAACTAATAGATACATATATAGAAAAAGATAGACGAACCTTAATTTTTTGCTCCAAATTGAGGTGTATAGCCATCTGAAATTCGAAGAAATTGTGGTTCCAAATGTTTGTTTGTCGTGTCCAAACCAGAGGGAAAACTCGAATAGAAAGGCGAACCAGAGAGAGAACTCGAATAGGGAGGTTATATCAAAACTACAGCATAATCTTGTCGGCATCTTCTTCATCTAGAGAGAGACAACATAGAGAGAAAGATAGGGCTTCGACGAGAGAGAGTGAGCAGAGAGAGAAAGTTAGGGCTCGAACGCGAGAGGAAGAGAGCAGAGTTGTGTAGAGGAACCTAGGGCTTCGCAGAGAGAGAGAGCAGAGTTATGTAGAGGGTTCTAGGTGGGCAATGATATATATACCTAAGGACAAAAACTACGTCATTTTTTAAGGTCACATTAGTCACAGTGCATTTACCGTCCCTAAAGAGTAAATTTTAATTATGTTTTCTATTAAAAAAATTCATTTATTTGGCGCTAAGTTTCCTGTTAAAGCCCGTGCCCAAAAATAGGGTCTTTAGGGACAGTTTTTTGTACTGTCCCTAAAAGTCTGTCACTAATAACCCTTTTTCCTTGTATATGAAGAGTGAAGAAGATATGTTTGTTGCTTTAAGCGAGAAAAACAAATGATGAAGATGAGTTTGAAGATTAGAGGGTTGCCATGCGTGAGTAATTGAACACCAATGGAAATGATGGATGGAGTTTTGTTCAAGGTGGAGTGATCTTCATTCGAGGTAGATCTATAAAGGAGCGCGTGAAGACTGATTTCGAGCTAAGGTGGAGATTGTTGGGTTTGTGGCTCAAAATTGTGTACAAAAATTAATTTCCTTTTATGTTTTGGAGTGTCAAAATTTGTGAAGGAAATTGTATTTCATTAAGTTTCTATTTTAGAGTTGGGATTAATATGGTAACTCCTTATAGACAGGTTGGGAATACTTGCCTAACAAGGAATTGAGTTTTGAAGAGTCTATAAATAAAGATAGGTATGAGAGGTTTAGTGAGAGAGTAGAGAGAAAGATGTAAGGGGTTTAAGGGTGAATGTTGTGAAGAGATGGAAGAACATATTTAATTCCCGAGTGGATACATGTAGCCCCAAAAGAGATGATGAGTGAGTAAATGGGGTTTTGACATGTGGTTGTATATTCTCTTTCTTGAAACATAATAGTGAGATCTCTCTCTCTCCCATAGACGTAACCCTAGAGTTGGGTGAACCATGTAAAATATTATGTTGTACGTGGATGCATGTGATTCTTATCTCCATATATGTTTGTGTTGATGTGATGTGATGATGCTTCCGCCGTGTGTGATGAAAGAGGGATATAACTCTCAACAACAACTGACCATTGAGTGAGTTAGAGATAGTTAATTGTTACCCAACACACATTTACAAAATTTAGTCAGACCCCTGTGAGACATCGTCAGTTAACAAAAACAAATAAATGAATATAATGACTAATTTACCCTTTTTGTCATTTTCCCAAATACGTTTATCCAAACAACTATTCTAGAACTCCCACCAATGGTTACCTTATTTATTCATATACACTTGTCTAAATACTTTAGTCAAAGGTTTTCATGTACCCAAACACTCCACTCCACTTCCTTAAAACAAAATAGTTAACTCTTTTCATTCATTTCGCAACTAACCTTAGAGAGACAGACTAAGAAAAAACCCTACTTCTTTTTGTTAACTCAACACATCAATTATGGCAGAACACTAGACCAAATACACTTGATCGAATTGTTTATTTGCACATAGTTGAAGGTTCAAAGATGAAGGATTTGTTAGATTGATTTGAAGTTATTGAGCAAGTCTAGTGATTCCAAGGAAAATGATTTCTCTATAAATCGATTTTTGTTGTATTTGATGGGGGTTTAGGGTTTCTATGAGTACGTTAGTGTATGAGTGTTATTTGTTCATTTCTTTTGGTTTGGGGGTTTAAGATTTTTTAAATTTATGTAAAATTTCAATTTATAATCGATTATTGTTTAATTTGTTCGATTTATTTAAGGAATATGCTCGTAATGATAATTTATCCGTAACTTAGGATCTTGATTTGTTCGATTAGTTGAATTTTTTCAAATTCGGTTTGACTTTTCTTTAATTTGTTCAATTGATTTAGGGTTTTATTTGAAAATGCATGGATTTGTTTAACTTTTGCAAAATTGTTGTTTTATTGGTTCAATTGAATTTGGGGGTTTAGGGTTTCTTTGTTTCAATTGGACAATGCATTCTTATGCCAGTTATTTTATGTTCTCATTTGAGTTCTCAATGTATATTGAAAATTTTCTTGTTTTTTGAATTATTTACAGTGATGGGAGATATTTATCATAATTTTCATGTTCACTACCAGTCAAAATGTAAAACTATTAATCATGTAGACCTTGATAAGTATGGTTTCTATTATTTCTTGGAAGACATAAGTAGAGTTGGTCATGGGAAAGGCTCGACACATGAGTTCATCCGGCATAAGATGTAGGTGCATAAGAGCTTGGAAGGTCTCTAGGTGGTTGAAGGGATCTTTGGTCCCATCGAAACTTTCAATCGAGGGCATCTTAAACTTGCTTGTTAGGGGGCATTTCATGACAACAGGACTGAATGGGAAAATAGTCCTCTACATCAAGTCATTTATGGCGGCTTGACCTTTTCCTTTCTTAGCTTGCATTACATTTTCCATTTTTGCCTTGAGATCTTGGATTTGTAGGTCGAAGTGGGTAACTTCTTCAATCTTTTCCTTGATACAGGCAGTCGTGTCTGCCTTGGGCTGGGAATTTCGGGAAGGAAAAAAAGGAGTTGGCTCTTTATGTCGGTTTCTAACTTGGCTTTACTCTACCTCGCCCTCATAAGGAGGATTATTATCTTAGTCAACCCCATTTTTCCCCCCATCATTTAGATTGAGAAGATCTAGATATCCACTAAGCAATTCTTGTTGGATTGGTGGTCCTGCTAGGGCAACCCGTTGCAAAATTGTCGTATTTTCAGTCCTTAGTTCAAGGTTTTAACCTATCGCTCCAATAATGCGACGCATTCCCGGTCATTTGAGGCATATGGATGTTTACTAGGCAATTGCCTTGACCAAGACCTTGCAACAATGTTCCCTCACCGGTGGCCAGGCCGAATCGCAACTGAACCATGATATTTTATGAAGAGAACTTTTTGTTCTCACAGATGGCACCAACTGTTGAAGAAAAATTCAACACAACCTAGGATGACACCGTTTCTCTGCAAACAATGTAGATGAACCTTGACTAACACCGTTGTGGTGTCTGCCAAGAGTTCTCCGATGATCAAGTCAGTCACCGGAGCTCTGAAATAATGGCAATAATTTAATGTATTAAAATGTCTCATACCCCTAGTCAGATTTTGTATTTATAGATGGCGTTTTGTTTCAGATCATTGTAATAACCTTAGAGATTTGTTAGCGAGCTTATCCGCTGCTTGAATTTTAATTTTTACTCACCTTAACTATATCTTATCAACTGATTATAATCTATTGTACTACTTTCTCTCAAATTCCTCCATCAGAATAAATACAACAAATTTGAATAACCACAACACCGACACATCTCAACCATAGGACATACCAGTATCAGACATTTGTCTGAGGCTCAAACACGTGTCCAGATTATTTTATTGTTTTTTTTTCCTATCGGACACAATGTGTCACTGGTGGGACCAAGACACTCCATTCATACTTTTTTCAACAGAGAGAAAAGAGATAAACAAAGAGACACACCTCTTGTGGAAGATATGATATGGGTATCGACTATATATGTATGTATACACATTTATCCAAATTATATATATTCATTTCAAGAGAGATAAAGATCTTCTAACAGTAACAAGAATGAGGAGATGACAGAGGATCGGCTGGAAAAAAGAGGAAGGAGGGGATGACATAGGATCGGCTGAAAAAAAAAAAAAAAAAAAAAAAAAAAAAAAAAAAAAAAAAAAAAAGGAGCCAAACGAGGAAAAGAGAGACAAGGGGGTAAAAAGATGAAAGGGATGGGGGATTAAAGAGATAAGGTTAATCTTATATTTTCTTATTACTTGTTTGGTTACAAGTAATTGTGCTTTTTATATATAAAGATATTAGAAATTTGGTGGATGGAATACGTTTACCAATAATAATCAACCCTTGTAATAGCACAAATCATTGTAAAATAAGGCTATCATAGGGGTAAGTCAAACCACAAGGACTGCAAGTTTATGGCAACTAAGGTCTTTAAAATCATTTTGTTTGACGAAAGAGGTGTAGGGTTTGGTTTTGTTTGTCACTTAGAAACTAGGAAATAAAATTTGCATAAAACAATAAATGGAATCAATTTAAGAGGAGATGAACTTATGTAGAGAGGGCTAGGGAAGTGAATCCACCTCTAACCATATAAACATGCTTGCTCATGATTAACTTGGGAAACTACTTATGTATATGACGATGATATGTAGTAATACAAGATTACTACATTATCTTCAAGAAATTCATGAAATCAAGAAACAAGTATAGTTCATCAAAGTTTTACATGCTTGAACTACCTAGACTAGGGTGTAACCTTGGACATGCTCAATAAGCTAGAGACTATCAAACTCCTCAATCAAATGATAATAGCATATGAAGTTAAAAACCAAGAATAATCCATCAAAAGGGAAGCCCTAAGCTATGGACTATCAAGCTTATCATACAACATGCCATTAAACACCATTTCATAATCTCATCTCTATTCTCACTATGAAGATGCAATCCACATAATCATAAGAAAATATAATCTAAGATAAGATAATAGATTTAACATAATCATTTATAGAAATTAAGATCTATTACAACATGTGTAGAGCTCTAGAATATGAAACTATCATATGCATGATTCATTACCCAAATTAAAAATAAAACTAGAGCATGCTTACAAAGAAGGGCTTCATCACCTCCCTAAAAAGGGAGTTAGTTACCCATGGAAGCAAGAGAGGAAGAGGTTGAGGAGATCTTCCCCTCCATTTTTGCAACTAACAGCCAAGAATAACACACAAGATCTCAAGAACAATATTTCTCTCTCTAGAAATCCTTACAATCTTTGATATCCCTTTTACATTGATTTAACCCTTCTCATATAGACAAGATGTCTACCAAACCTCCCCAAAACTGAGGTCCATGTCCCCTAAAAGTATTTTACCAATAACCCAATTAAGGAGGGAATCCAATTGAAAGGATCAAAAAGCCAGCTGGGTCTGCAGTGCTTGGACGAGCGCTCATAGGGCGCTGGACGAGCGCTCGTCCAAGCCTTAGAATTCTTCTCATGGTACAGAGCAGCAGGGATGAGTGCTCGTAATTGAAGGG